CCATGTTATCAGGAATGCTATAGAGAACAACTGCAGTTTCTTCATAATATGTGTTTATGCCAACGGGAAACACAAAGAGAAAGCAATAGAATTATTGTAGAAATGAGGGAAAAACTGAAGGAGGCGGGAGAAGAAAAATGGAAAGCACAATGGAATTGTGAAGCACAAAAGGAACGTAAAAAAAATATAAACAGGAACTTGTGGAGTTGAAGGCGAAACTGAAAGAGGTAGAAGAAGAAAAAGAACAAATGGAAGAACGATTTAAGTGGTTGGAGCAGAGAATAAATGGCAACCGGGACTAGACATTGGCATGTATGTATTTAGTGTATTTTTTATATTTCATGTATTTTTATTATGTTGGCCTGTTATGTTTGTGTTTGTGTTGTAGTAATGTTTTATTATAATTGAAGTGGCATGTATGGCATGTATTGAAGTGGCATGTATTGGAATGTATGGCATGTATGTGTACTAAATTTTATTTTAATTGAAGTGAAAGTTAAGTTTAAGTGCTTGTGTTGTTATATAAAACTATCAAACCACGCTTTACATATTACATTTTCCTACAATTAAATAACTTTTAATTCACTCATTCTAGATTGTGGAACATAATTTTATTTGATATATATTGCAACATACACAAGTACAAACACGTATTACAAAAAATAATACCAAAACAAAAGACTAAGGGTATCCTTGATAGTTGGGTACATTCGATGAACTTGCACCAGGAGCCGGATTACCACCGCCACGCACACCACCTGAAGGACATTTACGACGGTCGTGTCCTGTTTGCGAGCATATGCCACATTTACGCGCATAAACGGTGTCACCAACATCCATTTGGTTCCGTATACGCGTTCTCTTTTGCACTTACAGCTTGCGCAAATAGTCCTTGTTACATACCATCTTAAAATGTTCCGGCGGCCAATAATGCTCAGCACCTAATGGTAGCAACTTCCCACTATACATGTCTACGGATGCAGCAACACTGTATTTCCTATCAATATAGTTTGTTGCCCCATATCCAACTTGTTGAAAGCATTTCAACGCATGTGCACACGACATGTGGTAGATGGTCTATTTCCCACATGAACATAACCTTCTATTTTCATTCACCGTCTGTAAATTATTCTCACGGTGTCCGCGGATAGTGGTCTTAACTTCAAAAATACCCCGTTCATGATCGTACTGAAGAAATGAATGCCACTGTGCTCGCCTCCTGGACCTTTCAAATCTTCTCATGGGTATTGGCATAAATTGAACACCCCTGTCCATCAATGCTGATGCAGCTGCATGCCTTTCAACAAACCTCTCCGCACTCTGTTTGAATGTCATACGGACCATGGCAATGACAGGTAGTCCACGGGCAGACTTCAACAAGTCATTGAATGACTCTGACACGTTTGTAGTGAGGCCTCCCCATCGTCTGCCGCCATCAGCATGCAATGTCCACATGTGAAGCTCATGCCCCATCAACCAAGTATAGGCTCGTGGTTCTAACTGCCGGATCGCTTCCATGCGCCTCGTGAATTTGCATTGCTGGTGCTCAGTTGCAGCTATCCATATTAAGTCATGCAAGGCTTTATCAGGATATTTCTTCTGAAAATTGGCCTTCAGGTGATGCACACAGTAACGGTGGTATGCATATGGTTCTTGCCATTTGGGCAAGTGACGTACAAAACTTAAAATACCACCATGCCGATCAGATATTAGACAAATACCTGAACGCTGTTTGACAACATGCTGCTTCAAGTGGTTCAAAAAAAACGTCCACGTCTCTTCGCTTTCGTTGGCACATATGGCAAAATCTAGAGGAAATATTTGCCCGTTGGCATCTACTGCAACTGCAATCAAAAGCTTAATATCATACTTTCTATAGACATGAGTACCGTCTATGGAAATAACAGGACGACAATGCACAAAACCATCAATTGCTGGTTTAAATGACCAGAACACATAGTTGAAAATATATTCGGGTATGTCCGGACTCTGCTCACGCCTCCATTCAACAATAGTCCCGGGGTTAAAGTGTTGCAGTGCGGCCATGTACCTAGGCAAATTTGGAAAAGACTTATCCTAGTCGCCATAAATAAGTTCAAAGGCACGTTTGCGATTGAGATATGCCTTTTATTTTGGTTATAGTACAACCATACTCCTGGTGGACGACTGTAATACACTCTTTAATCTTGAACCTAATGGACACTTCCAAATATGGAATCAAGACAAGAGAAATCAAGTCCACATCCAAGTTGAAGTGATTCTCATTGTATGTGTCCATTTCACATCTGTGCTCACTAATAAATTTACCCACTTTCCATAAACCTGATTTCTTCTTGGTGGCACGTAACATCCAGTGACAACCCATAAAGTTTCTATGGCATACAGCCTTGTACTTCTCCGTAGTTGACTCACTTACTGTCATCTCACGGCACTCTCTTATACTGTAGATTTTTACAGCCCTAATTAGGGGAGCTTTATCGGGGAAATACATGCCCTTTGTCAGAACAGCTGGTCTAGACTCATCCCATATCGCTGACCGAAATTCATCATCATCCCTTGTGAGGGCATCCACGTTCGGCATGCTTGGCAAATTATCAAGGTAGGGAATATTCTGCTCATGAAATGGCACGTGGGACTCGTACACTCTTGGTCTAGCGGGAGGTGGAGGAACATGTTCCCTCGTCAGCTCAGGTTCAACATTAACTTCCTCCTCATCATCACCCTCATCATGGAAGGGTGTGTCATCCCCAGACTCATCCGCATTATTATCATAATCACTATCATCTTTCTGACTCTGCGCATCTACCAAATCACTAGTAAATACGTCGTCTATGGGCAACTGTATGAGGTCAGGAGCTTTAAGAAGCTCGCTTTCACTGCACAAAACGAACAAAATGAAAAGTAACCCAACTAGATAAATACTTTAGATATAGCTATATCACTTTACTTACAAGTCGTACTGTCTTGACGTTTCATGATGGATATTTTCTTGTTGGTGATGACTTCCGGATGGACCACCATGGTCCAATACTCCAGAACTACGCATATTCCAACTAGGGGCGGGGTTATAACTTGTAAAATTCATATCCGGATGGTACCCCTTATGAAAAATATGAGTGTTAATACAAATTCAATTAAATAAAATAAACATAGCTAAAGCGTAATAAAATTGAAGTTTACCAGTCGTCTTGTTGATTATATAAAGTCAAAAGATTATTTTGTGGTTGTTCATTCGCCGGTGGTGACAAGTTTAAATCAAGGCAAGCTCTTTCATCAACAATCTGTCCGGCAAAAACTGCTCCAGAATAAACACTCGATGACTGAGGTTATCCCTACTATGCACGCCCTCATTATTGGGAACGTCTTCTACCTTGACGTACATTTCCAATAATTTTATTACAATAAATTTCCTATATTCATCCGGAATCTGCAAAAAATCTCTAAGAGTTTCATCATCCTCGATGTTAAATTCAGAATAATAAGCAAACCCCTATGGAGTCACTGGATACGGAAATCTACCGGTTACTTTAAGGTTAACCGAACGCCTCCTGTCACTCATTTTTTTTACGTAACAAACATACCAATTTATCGTACTCCATAGTAAACGGCAATTTAACATGACACTGTGGAGGTGAGCTATACCTCACAGAGTTATTCTCCAGCACAACCTCACCCCCCCAATATAGTGAAACACTTATTATTGGCACTTCAAACATTGTAAAAAAATGATTGATAAGAAGAAGAGAGAAGTATGAACGTAAGTTTGAAGTAAAGTATTGAATGGATTTTCATAAAATTGGAAGCCTTTAAATAAGGCAAGTCCGAGCTTGGGGTGTAGAATTTTTCTATGTAAAACGCAGTACAATACTACGTTTTATGTATTTAAATTATTGTTATGTTAGTTAATTATTGGCGGGGCCAAAAATCAGAGTAAAACGCAATATAATAGTACGTATCAGTGTAAAACGTAGTATATAATACTGCGTTTTACACACAAAAAAAATGTTCTCTGCATTCCTTCAGAACTGGGAAACGCAGTACTGTACTGCGTTTAAGTAAAATGCAGTATAGTACTGCGAATAAGTTAAAAAAAAAATTATAATAATACGCAGTACTATACTGCGTTTTACTTTAACGGCTAACTTTTCTTTAAAGTAAAACACAGTATAATACTGCGTTTTACCTAGTTATGTAACTTTTTTTTAGCATTAGAAATATGCTGTTTGTCCAAAAAAGCATAAAAAAAGTTTCGGACTTACTTTTTCGCTGTTAAAGATTCTTAAGAAAAGTTTCGAACATGCTGAATGAATTGATCCATTATTATATGCCCTACTTCTTAGTAAATTTCTTCCCAAGTTGCAACTGCTTCCTGATTATCTTATTTAACGACTTTCATTTGGCTGGCAATCCTTTTGATGTAGCCATGTTGGTCCACTACTCTCGTCGTCTATTCAGGAGGATCAATACTGTTCTACTTTCTTTTCATTCCACATCGGATATCAGGGGTTGAGCTAAGTCGAGGGAAGAGGGCTCAATTGAACCCCTTTGTACATTGTGCAAATGGGACAAATACAAATTTTCTTAATTATATTTAACCTATGAATCCCTTTAATATAGGATTTTTTTTAGTAAAATGGCAAAGGAATTCAAAGATTAGTTTAGATACAGGTTCAAATCTCAAGTGTTATATTTTAGTATTTTTTTTTGAATACTCTTGTATAAATTACTCGCTCCGTCAATATGGATTATGCTTCGTTACAGTAGAAATATTTTAAAGAAGCTCTGGGCCTAGCATAAATCGATTTTAAACAGTGGCCCAAGAAGCCCACAGTATCCTTGGCCCAAGCCCATAAGAAAAACTAGTGCATTACAGTCGTTAAATGGGAAGAAGATGTCTTTGTTGGTCTAATTAATGTTTATCCGTTACTCAAATTAAATCCTCAGATTTTAATTTCTTTCTGCAAATAGACAGTAATTTACTTCAGTATTCAAACACAGGATTAGGGCATTGAACTCCACAATGAAAAAGAAAAGGAAACATTAATGATACATTATACGACATGCCTATGAATGATACATTAAACGGCATGCCTATTGCCTAGTACAAGTACAAATACTTCCATTGTAGTAATAAAGAAATGCCAGTAAATTGGATTTTTCTATCTCGGCCTTCTATTTTCTTGATGAAAAATTCCTTTTATTTCACTCCACACGACATACGGACTACTATTGATATATATGTATAGCTAAATCTCTACATAAAGTTCGAGAGCGTTAAGGAGTGGTGCAAGAGTAGAAGTGGCAGTACTGTTAATCACAACATCGTACTGTTCGTAACCATAGCCCGGAGACGTCGTGTACACCGTCGTCGTCGCAAGATATACCGGAGATATACGTCCTTCTACGAGGTTATCATTGATATAAATATTGAATTCCCTTGTTTGTGTCCCCAGCAATTCTTCGACTTCGGCGAAATGCAGGTAGAAGTAATATTTGCTGCTAATATTGCCAGGCGTCCAGCTGTAGGAAATCCAGCCAGTACCGGGCGAAGTTATCGGTGTCACCGCCGTGCTCATTACCGCCGATGGCACCTTGTAGAAACTATCACTTACCACTTGTGTTGTATGAATATTTTCAAGAGTAGTTTGCCCCGGTTGCCAAATTCTATCGTACACATCATCGTTGTATCTGTGTATTTAAATAGAAATGGGGAGGTCAAAGCTAGTAAAAACCGGTTTAAGTTTTCTTGTACTATAATATATCATATTATTGAATAGTCAAGTACGATTAGCGGGGTATGGGGTGTAGTGCACAGGGCTGCTTTTTTTAGTGGAGTGTGGATAACATATATAAGATAGTATTGACCTATTACGACCGGTAAAATTGTAATACTCGTGTAACAATCTTTACATCGTTGAATATATAAGTTAAATCCAGTTATATGTTCAACAACAAGATTTTATAATAATATGCATAAGAAAATCTTGATCTTCTATAATAAAAATGATTAGATAAACGTACCTAATGATTTGATTGGTCAAGGAACCATAGTTCTCACGTACAACAAGTTTCAGTGATCTACTTAGCGTTGGGTATAGGGTAATATTCAATGGCCTTAACTCTAAGGCTGAGATAAAAGGAGTTGTAGTATCTCTTTTGACAAGGCAAATGGTTATGTAGTCATTGGAAGGTGTGTGTATAACTTCCGTCCAGTATGGTATAGAAGCATTAGATATTATGATAGTGTCCCAGTAATCTTCTCCAAGGTAAATATCAAAATTTGGTAATTGGCCACTTCCATCATAATCTCCATAGAAAAAACTAGCCCTGATTAAGTATTTGCCTAAATTCCCTTGAGATGGGGCTAGAGTGTAGCAGTTTTTTGTCCCTGAAGGAAAGCTTGTAACTGTGAAGAATGGCTTTTCTAGAGAATTGGATTGGTATATAGGTGATATACTATGGCTTACTCCGCCACTGACATGACCTTCATCTGAAACGTAAGATATACCTGTTCTTATGTCAGTATAGTCGGAACCTGCTGGTAATCCACAATCAATGCTTATGAATCCTGTAAAATATTTATAAAAAAAAAAAAAAAAAAAAAAAAAAAAAAAAAACTTGAGTACTCAGACATGACAAAAATCAAATATTTTAGGTCACATGTATATGTTGTGAAGTATAAAATGTATTGTATGTACTAAATTAACATGCATGAAACCTGATTGATCGTTTTGTGCAACAGCTATTGTTGCTATAGAAAAACCAACAAGTAATGCAAAGAGGAAGCTTTTCAAAATCTCCATATTTTGATTCACGCTGTTATATCTTGAAGTTTAATTGATTGATCCCTTGGTTCCTTTATATAGTTCTTGCTCGATTTGAGAAGTTCTAGTTTGAAGTTTCTAAGTGATTTTGTAAACTACTAATATATATTATCCTGTGATAATTAAGCAAGGCCGGTGAGTGCAACATCTAATTATCTTATTAATGTGCTCTTATGTCATGAAATGTGCTTTCTTATGTTAAAATAATCAGCCAGTTTACCTAGAGGCGGATCCGGAATTTAAATTTTATTGGATTGAGATTCGTAATTCTACCACATCTCATCTAATTTAATAGGTTCAAATTTATTATTTGTACATATTTAATAATTTTTAAGCAAAAATACAAAGTATAAACCAAAGCTATGAGTTCAATTGAACCCATAGCTTCTACACTAGATACGCATTACCTCGATTGAGCCACTAATTTTTTCCTAGTAGTAGACCAAGCAAATATGTTAAGGGAATTATATATAGCTAGCTAGATTATAGCTGGCTAGAAGATGCCTAACAAGAGACTTATAGTTTATGTCCCCACGTATTCTTCCATAGAAATTTTATACTAGATACCTAGTAGTAGACCAAGCATATATGTTACGGGAATTATAACTGACCAGAAGAAGTCTTAACAAGAGACTATATATTAATTTATGTCCAAGATATTCTTCCATTGAAATATTAAGGTTGTACTAGATATTTTTTTAATCATTTCAACTCTAGATCAGCATAAAGAATACGTTTGCGATCTTGATTGTTCTTGTGTTTAACATATACTAGCAATTTTTGGCCCACATTAATTTTTATAACTGACTAGAAGAAGTCTAACAAGAGACAATTAGTTTATGTCCAAGATATACTTTCATTGAAATATTAAGGTTATACTATGTATACGGTAGAAATCGGGCTCGTTTACGACATGATAGATCGGGCTCAGAACGTGAGGGACTGAAGATCGACCCCAAGACCCACCGAACCAGAACCCGAGATCAGAATGTCTGTCCCCGAGATCAGAAGAATGTCTGTCCTCGAGAACATTGAATTCGTGATCCTAGAATCGACCCTGATCCTGAATGCATTCGAGAAAACATTATCAGCGTAACCAACAGAAGACCGAAATAACAAGAGGCCGAAATATCCATGGCCGTTGGATATTACGACGGGAATATCGGCACGTATCAATAAGGACCGGCAAATCAGCGAATCAAGTGGTTTTTACCTTTTATAGAATTGTACCTAAAATAGAACACCCCTGCTATATAAAGGGGATCTGATTACTTGTAAAAGACATTGTAACACGCATCCCAAAGCAGTATATTATTCTTTTTGTAAGCTACTGTTCTTCTATATCTTGACATCACTCGAATTGCATCAAGTTCAAGTGTGACTGACTTTCCAAGGCTATAACTGTTTAAGTCGTGCGGTTTGAATTTACTTTAGCATTGTTTATTCCAATTGCATTATTAATTTCTCGCTTTGTGTCAATTTAATCCACGTATCTTTAAAACCATTTACAAATTCAATTCTTATCTGATTTTGAGGGTAAAAAGTTTGGCGCCCATCGTGGGGCCTAGGATAATAGTGATTATTTGATAGAAATCTCTATAACACACACTACTTTACACTTGTTCTTTGAAGTGTCTCTAATTTCAGGTTAAAACTCAAAAATGTCAAACTCTCAATCACCACCCCTATATGTTGACAATGAGTCTGGTCATCACGGTAAATATAACAAATAGTGTCCGGTAATGAGGTACCGCCCATTGATCCCATTGGAATTCAAGTCGGGGACCCGCTGGACGAACTCGCATGTGGCTATCGACACGAATCTGCCTACCGACCCCGAGAGTAGCATCCGTGGTGGAGCACCATCGGTAGCGCAAAATACTTAAAACAATGGAAAAGACGAGATCAATTTACAGATGATCTTTGAAATGTTATAGGCTCAACAGGCGATGATAGCTCAGTTACAGAACCAAAGACGCGTACCAAGCAAAATTAAACCCGATCCGTCCCGGGAAATCACCCGCAGGAACAAACTGATCGCAGAGAGGTCGAATGGAAATGAGTCGGGGACCAACCCCGAGATCATAAAAAAGCTCGAGGAACTGACGAAATGGATAAATCAGGGGAGAAGAAAATTGATTCAAATGACAAAAAGGTAGAAACCTACAATTCCAGGGTCGACCAAATCCCCGGAGCACCATCGATACCAAAATGCCTGGATTCCAAGAAGTTTATACAAATACCTTTCCCTCCGATTGCGGCTCCAAAGCCGATTCCTAAAAAGTTCCGCATGCTCAAGATTCCTAAGTACAACGGAACGACCGACCCAAACGAGCATGTTGCCTCCTACACATGCGCTATCATAGGGAACGACTTGGAGGATGGTGAGATTGAGTCTGTCTTGTTGAAGAAATTCGGAGAGACCTGTTAAAGGGAGCTATGATATGGTATCACAACTTACCTCCTAATTCTATTGACTCATTTGTTATGCTTGCAGACTCTTTCGTGAAAGCACTCGTCGGGCCTATCAAGGTCGAAACCAGGAAGTCGGACTTTTCAAAGTAAGACAGAAGGATAATGAGATGCTCAGAGAGTTTTTATCCCGATTTCTAATAGAACGGATGGATATGCCACCAGTCGCTGATGATTGGGCCGTTCAAGATTTCACCCAAGGACTCAGTGTTCGAAGCTCGGTGGCTTCATAGTAGCTGAAGCAAAATCTGAAAAAATATCCGGCTATTACATAGGCCGACGTGCATAACCGATATCAATCAAAAATCAGAGTCAAATATGATCAACTTGGGGCCCCTTCGGGGTCCGTTTATCCATTTAGAACTATCGACGAAGTCAAAATAGATATCGACCGTGAACCGATGGCAAATAGGGATCGGTATCAGCCTTACAATGGAGATCGAAGAAGCAGTGGGTCTGGGCGGAATTCTACGCAAAGTGAAATGAGAAGTGCCCGAGGTCAGAGCAACAAGGGACTCATGAGCAAGAACGATTTTGATAGGCCTATCGGACCTAAGGAAGCACCGAGGTTATCGGAATATAACTTTAATGTCGATGCTACCGCCATTATATCAGCTATTGGACGCATCAAGGACACCAAATGGCCTCGACCTCTACAATCTGATCCTGTCCAAAGGGATCCTAACCAGATATGCAAATATCATGGCACTCACAGCCACAGAACAGAAGATTGCTGGCAGTTGAGAGAAGAAGTAGCCCGACTATTCAACAATGGGAACCTTTGAGAATTCCTGAGCGATCGAACCAAAAATGATTTTAGGAATAGGGATTCTAATAAATATACCAAGTAAGAAGAACCCCAACACGTCATTAACATGATCATCGGTGGGGTCGATATCCCTCAAGGGCCAATGTTGAAGCGCACTAGGGTATCCATCACAAGGAAAAAACGTACTCAAGATTACATTCCAAAAGGAACCTTGACTTTCAATGACGAGGACGTAGAAATGATCGTGCAGCCCCACAAAGATGCGCCGGTAATATCTGTACCCATAAATAAATCTCGAGTTAAGAGTGTGTTAATTGATCCAGGTAGCTCGGCCAACATCATCCGATCGAGGGTCGTAGAACAGCTCGGCCTATAAGATCAAATCGTGCATGTGGTCCGAGTTCTAAATGGATTCAACATGGAATGTGAAAGCACTAAAGGAGAGATAACATTACCAATGAATGCCGCAGGGACCATCCAAAAAATGAAGTTTTATGTGATCGAATGAGACATGAGATACAACGCCCTGCCCGGGAGGCCATGGATCACAATATGAGGGTAGTGCCCTCAACTCTGCACCAAGTGTTAAAACTCCCAACACCGGGGGGGGGGGGGTTAAAATT